AGTCTATATCACGTTCGAGAGGCCCCAAAGAAGTAGTGGTATCTTTTTCCGGCGAATATACTATATACTATATATATGTAGGGGAAAAAGAGAGAGAGAGAGAGAAGCTCGATCTACTTGCGATCGCTCGACGCGCAAATAATGATTAAATGTGCGCGTGGCAGCAGCTCAGCCGCCCAAAGCTTTTATGTACACGCGCGCAGCCCTTATACAGTGTACGTACTGGCCCGTGCGTGCTCGACTATACAGAGGCTCTTTATCGCGGTTTTGCGTGCGTGTGTCTCTCTGCGTTTGATACTCGATGCGTGACGAGTTCGTCCGCCCGAAAGAGGGGGAATATAATGTGCGCTGCGTGCGGGCCTGTCGAATGAATAGGTCCTGCTGCGGAGTGCAATATGACATTTGTACAATGTAAATATATTTGACTAGGTTTAAATCGATACATTTTCATCTTGATAACGCATCATTTGTTCTTTGCTATCTTTAAAGTCGAGGTAACGCGGTGAACATAAAACTATCATTCTTACAAAAAAAGCTCATAAAACGATAATCCCCTCGTTACGAGTAATTTCTGCATTCGCAATTGTCAGCGCTCGTGGATGGTGATTAGTATGCGCGCGAGTTACGTAATGTGCGAGTTCTATAATACGATGGCGCGTGCCTTTCTCGCGCTCGTATTATTGATTAGATCTCGCAATTCTGCGAGCTGCACACGCGATCGCACGCACACAAGAGTCACGAAAATGAGAAAAGTAATTAACACTCGGTGGTTTTTTCTTTGTACGCTTTGTTTATGATTGCCAGGAAAAAATCTGTTTTTATACATAAACATCTCACGAATATATCAGCATTACAATGTTATAATTCATTAGTTTTTGTATTAATTGTATCAACAATGTATGACAATTGAATCACAATTGGAACCAGCTTCTGCCACTAGATGGCGAGTAATTTTGCCAATAAATCTGCAAGTAGTAAAGTAATAATAGTTGTAAAAATCACGTATAAAATCATCGTGTTTACAGTGTTCTCATATGTCGCAATCAAAATACAAAAGTTGCAAACTTATTTTTCGTAAAATACTCAGAGTCACTCTGGTCGATAAGGTTCATTTACCCCGATGAAAATTTTACCACCCGAACTTCACTCAGCTTTTTTACAATACTAATTTCACGCACGCAAAATATCCATTCCTAATGCGCGCTCGACTCTCGTTCTCTCGGGTTTTAAGTGCTCGTGCACGTGCGCCTCGCGCGCACACGTCCTTATCCATCGAGTCGACTTAACCAGACACACGTACGTAACACCGCAAGCCCGGAACGAAGCGTACAAAAGATTAAATATAGTATTCTTGGTGTGTGTGTGTGTTTGTGTGCGTTTCGTCGCGTCGTAAGCTACCATTCATTATTCCTACCGACGCGACTCTCCCTCTCTCTGTACACGAGCACGTAATGGATTTAACCAATCCTCTCTAATGACCATTCCCATATACATAAGAATGCGCGTGCTTGCCTCGCGTTTTCGCGATTAATATTGCTTTCGCGCGCTCGGACGGCTGCGTGAAGTGGCACTGTACAAAGCAGCTCGATCGCGCCTCGATTGATGGATATAAATACACGGTACTCACGCGAATCGCCGGTGGTATAGAGAATAAAAGGCCGCGAAACTGCGCGAGGAAAAAGGACGTACTCGCGATGGAGCTTGCGCGCAAGCTCCATCGATGTGTATAAAAGAAACTGCAGTGTATAGCACGTACGTATGTGCACGGCACAGCCAGCGTATAGTACTTTTACTTCATTTATGAATTCTAGGAAGTCAAAGGGCTCGCGCTGCACTGCGCAGTGTATTACAGTGTGAAGCAGCAGCACATTCGCGTGTTACATATCGCATGGCTCGCGTACGTTTGCGGATTTTCTCTCTTTCGCTCGAGCCATGCAGGCGCAGGGCTAGGCTATATAAACTATATTACCCTTATGGCCGAGAGCTCGTATACGTCGTCGCGCGCCGCACGCAGATATCTTATACATTACGGCGAAGCTCACACGCCATATTATCAAAGCCGCCCCGAGGGTGAAACGTTGGTCTGCAATTACGTGTAGCAGCAGCAGCAGCAACAGCAACGGTGCAGACTCTCGACACCGACCAAGCGTACACCTATATTACAGACATACAGAGACTCGTTGGTGTATGTAATGGTCGGCGTTTCCTTATAATACAGAGAAATGTGTGTACGTGTCGAAAGTTGTTTTTTAGGTAATTCCAAGCGACGCCAGTGCTATACGCGCATGTATACGGCTTTGTCACCCCATGGAGATCGTCATAATTCCCGTTATATCGGCTTGACTTTGTCGTCGGTTTAACGAGTATAGTATACACACACATAGGCGTGCGTGTCTCCGGTTTGGTGATACGTCGTTCTACATCGTGGTACACACACGAGCTTATCGACGAGTGTTTACCAAAGTCCGTGAAATATAAGGATAAGCAGGGTACGCGCGTTAGCAATCTCGTTTTCTCTCGCCTTGCACGCGATTTACTATTTTTCGTAGCTCTTATCGTACTGTCACACAAATATTTGATTCCGCGGTGATCTTTAGAAAGTTCGTTTCACCTTGCTGAACATCACTGGTTATCATCGCGGCACATGGTGCGTAATTCATGGTTCGAAACCAAACGTGAAAAATATTCGGTTACAATTGAGGCTTATGCGCACAGAGATGAACATTGGGCTGTGCACTAAAACACGGCGACCGAGAGGAAAAATGTTGACGTTACGTCTGAGGCCTTGAAACGCAGCTTGAAGTATCGTAAGGCTGTTGCTTCATACATACATACACGATACGAGCTCAGCTGCACGTGTATAACTATACACATCGCCTCCGGCTGGCTGGCTGACTGGCTGGCAGCTCTGCTTCGTCGGTGGTGGTCTTTAAAACCCTTTTAGCATGCGAGTCTTGCAGCAGTCTTTGATCAAATACACGTATGCATTATATATATACACAAGCCTACATAGAGACAGAGAAAGAGAGAAAGGGAGATAAAGGGGAAATATTGATGGTTGTTTTGTCTGGCCGTTTAATAGCCCGACATTTCCTAGTGATTACCCAAAACCTTGACAAGTTTTTTCCCCTCGCGCATAATTATAATAACTAGTTTTTAACCGTAGTAAAAGAACGTCTCTTAGTTGTAATAATTATGCAAGTTGGTCGATTAATTATTACATCGCAACTCTCGCAACGCGATTAAAGATGTATTCGATGCATTAATTCGCGACTTGGGCTTTATATAATAAAACATACATTAAGGCACGCGAGTGAAATTAATTCTATAACCCGCAGGCTTTTCCAGCGCCGGCTAATTATATCCCCGAACTATGCGCGTGTAGCATTCATATTTATGCTCGTGCGCTTATATGATGATACATACAACATAGCACACTGCGCGTAAGCGAGTCGCGGGGGCCCGATATACATATCCACTCCGCAATTGGAAAATTAAATTAAACACGAGCAAAGAGAGAAGAAAGAGACTCGCAGCAGCAGAATCCAGAGAGCTATTGTGTTAATAATGACTTTGGCATTATTCTTGCAGTACAAACGTATGAATATTGTATGTAATATGTGTGCGGCGCACAAAGAAAGCTGCAGCAGAGAGAGAGAGAGGTGTTTCTCCGATATACCGCACATCGCGCATACATATAGACGAAGCACTAAAAGCTCGGCGTACTTGTGAAATTTTAAATAATTCATTAGTCTCGGTGGGCGCAAGTTGAGCAGCAGCTACTAGTCGAGTGATATAGTGAAGATGAGTGCGCGGGTCAAAGCAAGGAGCCGCTGCTGCAGGACGGAATATAAAGCTATGCTTTGATCGTCGACGTCGCGCCCCGTGTCACCGTTATATATCGATGCGTCTTTTGAACGACGTTAATCCTGCTCGGCCTTGTCGTATGGTTCTATATATCATATATATCTCTACACAGCAACCCCGAGTATACGTACACCCCAGAAAGCAGACGCCGCCGACACCGCCGTATCTCCGAAGCATTTGAACTACGTACATGTACGATGCTGCTGCTGCTGCTGCTGCTGCTGCACGACCTCACAGAGGGAGACAGAGAGCAGCGGCGGACGTAAAGCCGCAGACGTGCACACGCGAGCTTGCAGCTGCCTCGGCTCCTCCGAATTTTGCGACTCGAGTGTATAGACATACATATATATCTAATGCTCTGCAGACAGAGAGATCCCGGCATCTTCCTCTCCTCTTTCTCTTTCTAGCTCGACTAGTTCGGATCTCTCTCTTTCGTACTTTTTCTCTTGCTCTCTCTCTCTGTTTCTCGCGTGTGCACGAGCGAATTCTTTGAGAGCGAGTGTAGTGCGCCGCGCGCTAGGCGAGATTTTGCAAGCCCGAAAGACCTGCCGTGTATAGAGAGAATAAGATGAAATGCATTGCGAAAGAGAGAGAGAGAGAGAAAAGGTAAAGAAAATGAACGTGCGCGCGCGAGTCAAGTGAATCTATATCTCTGGAGGGATGCGCTTTCGCGCGGCAGGCGCTGCACAGAGTGCAGCCGACACATATATATCTATAGTCTCTCTCTTCTTCGCCTCTTTTCACGCGCTCTGTATATTCCGCTTATAATACGGACGAGAAAAGCAGATATCTGTCTCGAGATTCTCGCGCGTGCTCATTTTTGCGTGTCGATAAAACCTTGTATATATATGCCTTTCTTCGTGCGAAATTTCCACTTGGAGCTTTAGTCGTGGTTTCGAGAGTAAAAAAAAATTGTATTCGAACCGAGTTGCGGTGAGAGCGAGTACAGCTTTTTGAGCATGAACACACTGGACGATAAGATTTTAGCGCTGAAATTTCGTATTTCATTTTATACAAAGAGCTAGAGATTTAAGATATTGTTCGAAAAGATCTACGCTGAATTTCAAGTGTTGTGCGTAATTGATTTTTAAATCGATTCAAGATGTGTGTATTTTATTAAATTAGACACTTACTCTGGAGCAGGATTCCTCCAGCGCTGTCCAGTGCCAGCTCGCGCCATCAGGCATCGACAGCCTGACCTGTAAACAAAATGCAACGAATTATTTTATTTGTTAAACTTCATTTGATTTTTACATGATAATATTGCGACAAAAAAAATCTCAAAAAAAAAGTAAGTAAAAGTAAGTTGTGGTATAAAATGCACAACATGTTAATAAATACTACATACAATATGTTAATACACACAGTCTTAATAAATACTATACGTTACTTGTAACTTATACAAATATTTTCAGTTTGCCACTTGCAGATTTTGAGATAAAGGTATTCGCCATCTAGCGGTGGAGATTCAAAGTAGTGTACAATCGTATTTGCAGAGGTTAAAAACCGGTCTAAATTTTTAGAAACATTTCAAATAGTCATTTTTTAGTCATTAGGCTATTATTAATGTTGAGCATTTCTACCAGAGAACCCTTTGTTTCACTGTAGAGTTTTATTATTTTACGAATTAAATTTGAAAAATGAGCCACCAACTAATTGTTGCTCGTCAAGTTTTTTAATTAAAGTCTCCAAAAAGGCTCAATCAGAGCAACGCAACTACATATATGTAAAGCGTACACGTGAAAAAAGCCAAGATCTCATACGAGAATGTTTTTCTGTTTCATCATACGAGCCTTAGCGAAAAAGTTTCATTTCATTCGAGCTTTGTTTTATGTGTGGGCATGTTTTAATTATGTCCAGTATGTATCTTTGACGCGCATGTGTGCCTGTCCGCTTGTGTAACTATGGCATGAGCAAAGCAGTGTAAAGCCGCGTGAACGTATACCTATATCGTGAGTCTCGGTCGCTATGTGCAGCCTCGTTAGGAAGACAACTCGTATACACACACAATGGAAGGGTAAAGGAGAAAGAGAAAGAGAGAGACGAGAAGAGTCGAGAACACACACAACGACTTCATCAGTTAAGGGACGCGGCAGCAGCAGCCATCATCATCCCCTCTCGACGTTTAAATTATGTAAGTAGCCGGCCAAGCTTCTCTCTCCTTGTATTTTATATATCTATGTATTCTGCCCTTTCTCAATCCGCAAGTCTCGTTGTATAGGCTCTCTCTTATACGTATATTACAGACATGCGGCTCCTCGCCGCACGCGCGCGTTTCATCTACTTTCATTAGAGCAATGACATTTTTATGACGCGTTTCATTCTTTCCCTTTTTTCATTATCATTTCCTCCTCCTTGAGCCCCGCGCGCATTTAAATTAATCAATGCCGCTCTTATCTCCGGGGCTATTTTATATTTTTGCAAGCACAAAGCTCCGCGCGATTATGTACGAAAAGTAAAATGTAAAAAGCTCATTTTGGCGCGACGCATCGAGCTTTTGTCGTGCAAACAAAACATTAGGTAGAGAGAGAGACAGAACCTCGAGCTTGCAGCGGAAACTGCGCATCGTTCATGCCAAAAACCGATAACGCAAACTTTTTTACATGTAAATCAGAGCGCCGCACGGATGAAAGTCTCTATACAAATGTACGCCGCCGCCGTGCGAGCTTTAGAAGAAGGAAAAAAATCGGCTCGCGATATACAGCGTAACTAATTCCGTAATTTATGAATTTTAACGAAAGATCGTCTGGCGGCCGCATTATACACAAGCGGGAGGGATTGAAAAATTAATGCTCGAGTCGCTCTCTCGGGTTACAAGCTTTTCTTCGTGTATAATGTAGGGTGTTATATGGAGCGCGCCACCACCACCACCACCAGCACGAGGTAGGATCGCTGCTCTATATATAAATATGTATACCCGGCGGCAGGACCGCGAGAGTTGATCCATACTCAATAATTCAACGACTCATCGGCAATGAGCTTCATGGGGCTGTAGCGCGTGCAGTAACAACGTCGGCAGATTCGATTACTCGCGGGTTCGTGCTATTTTTTTATTTATTTTTTTTGCGTTCAGTTGCCATAACGTACATTAAGGATCCACGGTTTATTAACCAATGCTCGACCTGTCCGTCTGCACGAAATAATGTGCATGTGTACGCGATGATGCATGCATGCAATTATAGTGGATAGTGAATTTGTGTTGTTTATTAGTTCGATATTTCGTTAGAGAACCGCATAAATATCATTACCACAACGATTCATATGATCTTTTCGATCGAAACATTTCGACGAATCATCATGCCGGTCGCACGCAGTACTCGTGGAAAAATCAGAGGACGAATAAAAACGACTTGACGTGATTTTTTTAAGAGAGGGCACAACGCGCACATACAATACACGTATAGTGCGAGAGAGCTGACAAGTTTAAAACGCACCGCCTGTGTATAAGAGCAGCAGAGATAGAGAAAGACAGTATGCGAGAGAGTTGGGCCTGCTTAATTGGCGCCATTATTCCGCGGGCAAATTCACGACCGCGCGCGTACCACGTGCGGTGCCACGCAGTCGAAAGAGAGCCATTACGCAGATTTACGATCGTTAATCAGCGCTTCTTGGCCGGCGCAGAAGCGAACGGGAGAAAAAAAAGGGGAACACAAACGCTTCATTTAGTCTCCGGCCGCATCCGATAATATATCGGTAATATACGCGCGCAGGGGAAGAGAGAAAGAGTGAAAGTTTACGTAGTTACAGCGAGCGCGCGCGCGAGAGAGCCGTGTGTGCATGCGAACAGCAGCCGCAGCTTGTAACTAACTAAGCGAGGTAAGTTATCTTTCACGATTTGGCTGTGTGTGCTGCCTATTACTACTGGCTTCGCGAGAGAATAATTATCCGTTGCGAAGAGAAGAGTCGTTGCGCTTGAATGGCAATTAGCAGCGAGTGGGAGCTTCGTTCTTTATACCGAAGGCCGGAATAATAAAAGCTGAAGTAACTCTTGCATCAAATGAAGAATGTAATAGCTGCAAGATATTAACCATTCATGTGATTTTTGCACTTGGGTTGGAAAAGGTAATATTAAGCGTTGCAAAATTTTAACGAAAAAAATGCATATCGCTCGACCGGTCAAACGGAACAACAGATCAATTATTACAGACAAGTTACAAATGAAAATAAAAAAGATTGATGAACCAGCATGTAACTCTGTATTTATTTCCTCGAGGGGTAAAGGGGGCCAGTATAAACAGCCAAAATTAGAGTCATCCGTACGATGTCGAGCTTAAAGCTTCGCTTTTGATACGAGTACGCAAAATTATCTACAGAGTTCGCAATCTCTCTTGTACGTGGGTCGGCTTTCTTTTTTTTTCTCACTATGAGCTCAAATGTCGAGAAACGTCGACCAAACCGTCGATTCGTTCTCGTGTGTGTGTGCGTACCAAACGCGCTCGTCCATAGCTATAGAATTAACGTATACGTATACAGTATACAAGTCTATATCCGACAATGAACCAAAGTCGAGTGCGCAATCGGTCACATAGCGTTCATGTCGCCGCGAGTCGTTTGTATGTCGAGCTCAATGTATACAACGCGATGTATAAAAGGCACCATGACACTGAAACTCGCGCAGAAACAGTAACGGCAGCAGCTTTGCGATAAATTACGCGTATAAAACATAAACAGTTTGACCGGGTCATTTCTCAATAGAGCAGCGTATACTTCTTTCAGTGTGCACCATACATTTCACTCTCTATAGAAATGGCCTGGTATACATATACTAATATAATATATAAAGACCAATATGCATAAGGCAGCACAAAACTTCGACCGAGACTACACACTGAGACACTGAGATCTCCGTGTTCTGCTGCACAAATGGTGCATACATTTTAATGGAATTCATGAAATTCATGAAAAATTTTTCATGAAGATCAAATCGGAGTCAACAAAATGTTTAAGCTTGTGAAAAGAATGTTGTGTTTTTGGGCCAATATATAGCTCGATAAAGCCAGCTCCCAACAGTTTATAATTTCCATCGCGCAACGCAGAGAGAATAGCTTGCATCTTTTGCATGGCAAACGCGATTCTTTCTGATTATGCTTTAACGGAAAATCCACTTTCAAGAACTCAAGCAGTCGTTTATGGCGAGCTATACTGGCTCATTTTCTTCCTGTAGGTCAAGTTCCTAATAATTAGTACCGTTTCTAATTTTAACCTTGATTGCGTTTTTGTCCACATGAGCATTTAAAAAATTAGAATCTGTTTTTGCCTCTACGCGTGGGAAAGCCCACGTCATGACAACAACTTTGAGTAAAGTATGTTCTGCGAGCTGGAGCGACGAAGTGCTAGAAAAATTTTTCTATCGCGCTTAGTTCCAACGCAACTCACTTTCCAACCTATCACGAAGCTTCCTCTGAGAGGAAGCAAATAACATTTAGTAAACTGCCTCATGACGATCGAGCACAGTTGTTATAGAGGTGGTGGTGGTAGTGACTTTATGACCGATGAAAAAAAAAAAAGAGAGAGGGAATTTCTTGATTGTCGTATAACAGTAGGGTATATAGAGAAGAGGCAGTCGAGAAATTTGAACGTCGCCACTACTGCGCTAATTAAGGTACCCGGCGCAAGCTCCGAGGACTCGTAACGAACTTGGCACTTTTCTACGTCTGTCTGGAGACCAGATGTTATATGTAGTAGCGCTGTGTGTGTGTGTGTATACGGGCGGCGCGACGCGACTGCTGCACTCTTGCTACCCTACCTTCTACTCCCCCCGCCCCACCTCAACAGAATCCCTCTTTCGCCATTATTCTCGAGCGTAGCTCCTAGCTGTTCTTCCAATTTCTCAGCTCGATCCCTCTCTCTCTCTCTCTTTCCCTCTGTTTTTTCTCGATTGCCCGGCGCGCGTATAAGCTTTTTTTTGCCTCTTTCTCCCGGCGACTTTCTTCTATCCTCGCCGCGTTGAAGGGGCAGCAGCGCGACGCCGTAGTACGAGTGCCGCGTCACAGTCATCTGCAAGAAGGCTCTTATGTAGTCTTTCTTGAATTTTGCGACGACCGACCGACTCATCTGTTAACCCAAAGGTATATATGTATAGAGGGGACAGAGGCCTCGGCGTCCAAAGGAACTCATCATCAATGCTATTGTCAAGCCTTTGTGAGCGTTTTGCTCTCTGTTTACATAATGCTCGCGTGCGCCGGGGCCTTTGTGAGCC